ACATTTCTACATGGATAGGAATATAGCGCCATCTGCTGCTTTGGCATGTTCCTAGCAGCGTTTTCCTTCGTCTTTGGCTTTTACGTGTGGACGGGATTTTTAAAAAAAACGAAAACGGAAAATCTCCGTTTTCAAAAACACCCGTGTACGTGTGGACGTAGCCTTGTTTTGTGTTTCTGGCTTCTAGGGATTCTAGAAGTGGAAAAATGTACTTGATGGAAGGGAAGAGCAGTCATGCTGTCAAAATGTAAAGTAAAACATGAGTTGAATCTATTAATTTACACACTTTTCTTATTTGCCTTTCCATCATACTGTGTCATAATGTGCTATTTCTTCTCTGCTGTGCTGAATTTCACAATAGAAGACGACCATTTGGCAGCCACTGTGCAGAGCTGTGGCCCAACTCCAAATGTGACCAGAGCTCTTATCCATCCATTTAGTGGGTTTATCAGCAGTGATCAGTCCCATAGATATGGGCTAGTCGGGCTTTCTACACCTGCTAGTCAGTTCAGAAGGTTGTTATCATCCATTCAGATGGAGGATCACTAACAGGAGGATGGGAAGACTCCAGAATCCATTCTCACTGATCTCCGGTGGATAAGGCAGTGTTTACAAGTGATGATTTAAATGGACAGCATTTATAGAGTGACTATAAAAAGTCAGCGAGTCTGTGTCTGTGCTGAACCATTTAGAATCAGGTTTTGAGTCAGGCTGCATTGAGTGTGGGACTTAAAAGCATTAGGCTTGAAGATGGTATGAAAATCTCTACTTACCTTCTACGCTATATTTTTGTTACTGATTTATTAATACATTTTACATTGTTTCTTTTGTTTATCAGTAGAGAGAACACAGATTTCAGAGGCGCAAAGAGAAGCACTGTTGCTTCATACTTAATACTTTAAAGCTGCATTAGGGGAAGACAAGAAGCAGAAGTACTTCCAGGCACAGCCACAGTGAGGGAGCAGACACCTTACACTGAGTTCGGTGCTGGACCAAGGCCAGGAAGATCGTGAAGGACCTCAGCCATCCCAACAACAGACTGTTCTCTCTGTTGAGGTCAGGAAAGCGATTCCGCTCCCTGAAGACCAACACAGAGAGACTGAGGAGGAGCTTCTTCCCGCAGGCGATACGGTCTCTCAATCACACCACCACACAGTACTGACCCACACATACAGTTCTTACACACACACTGGACTTTCTGGACTTTGGTTTTGCACAACACTGGTCACTATATTCTTCATTTCCGGTTAATCCTTGTACAGCTGCTGTTATTGTGTATATATTTATTTATATTTAGATTTCTTCATACATTCTTATATAGTTCTATATTGTGTATTTTGTTGTACAGTTATTTTATTTTCAACTTTAATTTATATATTTATCTTTATCTTATTCTTCCCAGTTAAATTTACCCTTCATTCTAATTTGTGTTGTACAGTTATTTCATTTTTAACCTTAATTTATATTCTATTCCTTCCTAGTTAAATTTACCCTTTTTAATTTTTCATATTTATTTCCTATCTTATTCATAGCCTTTTCCTTTTTTTGTTTTCTTTAGGTCACGAGCAGTTGTCCAAGCATTTCACTACATATCGTACTGTGTATGACTGTGTACGTGACAAATAAAATTTGAATTTGTATTTGTATTTTGAATTTGTATTTGTATTTGAATTTGAGTTCAGAGAAGTCAGAATTTCAAGAAGCGTCTGAAACAGCTCAGGTTTGGAAAGAAGCCTTTTATGTTGGGTGTTATAAAAAATATACACATATTTATAATAACAACTATAATATTATTATAAATAGTAGTTATTCTCTTATTATTATAAATAAATATCAAACATTTCAGTTGATTTTCTATCACATATATTGTGTTAGCCCTGTGATAAACTGGCAGCCTGTCCTGCTTTTGCCCTGTGGCAGCTTCAACCTCCCACTGTCACGATCCTGGGTCTTTTGACCCAGCGTTTTAAGTTTTAGTTTATTTTTGATGTTTATGGTTTATTTTTAAGTTCATCAGGTTATCTAAGCTCATTTGTTTATTTAGATTCCTCTTGTGTCTTCTACCCCTGTGTTTTAGTCTCCCTTTGCCCTCTTATGTTATCAAGTTTATATTGTCTTGTCTGCATCTCATGTTTCCTGTTTTATTTTGAAGGTCTGTGTCCTATTTCAGTGTAGTCAGCTTTGCTTCCTTTGTCTCCTTATGTCAGAGTAGTGTCAGCTGTTTCCCCATGTGTTTCCACTTCCCCCTAATCACCCTTGTGTGTATTTATTCTGTGTGTTTCTGTTCATTCTTTGTCAGGTTGTCTGTTGTTCCATGTCTCCAGGAGTGTCCATGTTTATGTTTTTGCAACGTTCAAGGTTTTGTTCTTTGCATTTAGTTTTCCCAGTTTACTTCTAGTTAGGTTCTTTCTTGTGTGCATCTGCCTTTTGTTTTTGTACTCGTTTATCAGCCACATTAAACGGCTCGCTTTTAACCTGACCGTGTTTTACCCAGCAGACATTTATTTCAGTGACTCTTTTGAATTTAACGGACTTTGGATTATTTCCTGTGCAGGAGGAGGAGAAGGAGGCTATTCGGGCTCAGATGACCCGGATAGCCACGGCTAACCCAAGGTTTCTGGATTTTCTTGCCTGATGATTTAAAGAACTTTGTTACTGCCTCAACCTCAGTAGTAATATAACTAGTTTAGGAGCATTTCACTTTTCTTTTGTGCTCTGAAAGACACAGAGGCTAATAGTTTTTAAAACAGAGTACCACAAACAACATGTATCCCTTTAGAAATAAACTTTTCTTGTGATACTTCTAAAAACCACATTCTTAACTAGCCACAATAGCACTGTATCGACCCCCCAATGTTCCTTTAATACACAGGTGTCAAACTCTGGCCCGCAGCCTAATTACATTTGGCCCGCGAAGCCATACCAAATTACTATTAGAGCTGGCCTACTGGTATTATACAGCTAATATATATATTGTTTAGTATTAAGCTTTGCTTGTTCCATATTCAGGTTTCCAGCAAAACTTATTTGAGTCCATAAGAAAATATTCATTCTTATATCTGGAGGAAGATTTTTTTTTCAATAAATATTAATGTTAGCCCACGACTTTGTTCCAGTTTTGAATTTTGGCCCACTGTGTATTTGAGTTTGACACCCCTGCTTTAATACAACCTATAATTGTCTAGTAGCCACACAAACGCACTGCAACAGTAAGACTTGATGATTAGACAGAGGGGGTTACAGGTAGGGCCCCAACAGTCAGCAAAACAAGTCATAAAACAATAAAAGCTGCATACTTATCAAGAGCATCCCAGCACACACATCCCAACTGTAGTTCCATAGTTTCCACCTTTTTTCTTTACAAACTGCTCTTTTCATCTCTCCATGTCAGAGGTCAACTGAAACCAAGTCCACTATATAAAAACACCCCATCAGACACACAGTATTTTCCTCAGCACTTCACAACTTTTGCAAGGTATATCGTTTTAACTTTTTTTTTCGGACCCCGGACACAGCGCTGTGAGGTAGTTAGCACACAATTTGGCCATGTAGAAAGCATCGTTTGTTTGGAACGCGTCATCACTGTTCATAAGAGTTTAATTTAATCAAACCTCATTTCAGGATCTACGTGGCTCCTCATCACTCGCCGATTCATCATTTTATTTAAATATCTGAATTTTCAGAATGGTGATCCAAGCGGGACACAGAGGCTGCTAGTTTTAACGCACCAGAATGCCGCAAATATAAATAAAAGTCTGATTATCCCGAGAGCCTAGCCGCAGCGACACCTTTCTTTCAAATGGATGCCTGCAGGTGCGTTGGAGCCGACTTTGCTACCCGCACAGAGCGTTTCTAACAGTCGGGCGCTGCTTATGCAATAAAGAAAAACAACAATACAGCATGTTTCTCTGCTCCAAGACATCCGCGGTCCTTTCACACGGTAAGCATGTCTGTTATACCCAGCGCATAAATGTCTGTATGTCAGCGCTGATTAAACCCTGTTTAAAAAAAAAGAAAGAAAAAAAGAAATGTTTACGTGGAGGCTGTTGGCTCATTGGTGTCAGATGAACTTTTTTTCAATCACTGCACTGAGGGCATTAAAATAAATACAGTAACCATCAAAATAAGTTTTGTTGATAAAATACATTTCTTGAAACCGTCCATTGTTTTGTCCGAACTCTGAACACTGAATCCAATTTTCAAACTAAAAGCAGTGCTTTCAAAATTTACACTAAAGCAAAAAACCTACAAGAGCAAAAAATAAACAAAATAAAATGATAGTACATAGCGACATATGTGTTTTATTTCTCATAACACATCATTTCCATCTTGTCTTCAGTCCTGCATTTTTATAGTTCTAAGACCAAAATGAAAACTAAACTCTTCATATTCACAAACACTATTTGTTTCAGGATTTCATCATGATTCATTTTCCATATGAGGCAGTGCTTTCAAATTACTTTTGAAGTAGTACAGAGAAATTACTCTTCTCCTCTTCTTTTAAATTGCATCAATATTTTCCAACTGAGCAGTAAAAGGACACGGAAGTCAAACATGAAGCATCAACGTGATGTTTAGATGTCGATTAATATTACAATAAGAGACTAAAGTAACTCGCTTTGAACACTTCAGTTTTCTCTCTTGATGCTGCTGTTTGTTTCCTCCTCCACTTGTATTTTTCTGCACTTCAGTGAATGTGCATAGCGCCCTCTGTTGTATGTTTGGGAGAACTGCACTGCACTGTCATCAAACGAAACTGTGCAGAGGTGGAAAATGAGCAAAGGAAGCACATCAACTGAAGAAGCTTCTTGGATCAGAAGTTAAACATCATCCAGAACCTTAAAGAAGTAAAGTCGCTTTCTTTCCAGGCTCCTTAGACAACCATGACCTGGATGACTGAGAACCTACAAACACACATGAGCAGCAGTTTATTTAATGTGGACCTGAGCAGTGCCCAAAACAACAACCAAACAATTTTTATTGAACCCTACTTCAGCCAATCAGCAGTCTTTATCTCTTTCAGCATCAAACACAAACCACACCTTGAAGAGAGGTGACAAATCCACAAACACCTTCAAATGTAAACACACATCACACATGATGAACATGGATCCTAACATAGTTGATACTTTTTTTTGTAAAGCCTGATACTAAATGTATGCAGGCCACCTGAACTGCTTCGTCTCGAATGCCGCCCACTGGGTTGGTCACTAGAACTGTGTGTTGCCATCACTGGAGCCGTGGTTGGTCTTTTAGATTATTTAGACTGGGACTGTTTTTTGTTGATTAGGCGGCATGGTGTCCTGACGGCTGCCTCTGTTGTTTTTTTTCCCAGGAGGAGGAGAGTGGAGCACAGGTGGACAGCAGCCACGGAGCAGAGAGCACGGAGTTTTGGGTGAAGACATGACACAGGAGTCGAGGGAGCTCAAGGATTATTGTGTTGTCTTATTTACTCCACTGTAAATAAAGAGCACTCTCCATCGCACGAGTCCTGCTTTTGGGTCCTCCTTCCCCACTTCACAAAGACTGAAACTAATTATACAGGTAATAATAAAGGAACCAAAAGTTCACATCTATAGCTTTAAATTTGGACAAATCTGTCAACACAACCATCAAGAATAGAATAAAATACAAACAAACACTGAAACTAATGAAAAATTACACATGATATATGAACTGTGGAAACTAACTGAACAATAAAACTCAGAATAAACAAATTCAAACATTATATGAAAGGTATAAACTGATTTGCATCTTATTGATTTGCAGGCTCACTTTGCTCCAGGACTTGACGACTGGCCCAACCCGTACAGTCTTTGTCTCTTAATACTGAATGTTGAAAACTGATACTCATGGACACCTTATTTCAGCCTCTTTACTTTGCATAAGAGACCCAAAGCTTTACATCAACATGATGTTGTCTAGTGGACCAGCACGTCCATTACATGTTTTGCCGTTATTGCTGTTTGTTACGAGTTCAAATATTGAGGGTGAGCACAAAACAATAATGGTCCAGAAGAGCTTCGGTCAAACAATGATTTTAATGAACACGCGCGTGGGGAGATGAACACTGCCCACAGACAGCATCGATCTCCGCCCAATGATACACAAGCAGTTGTTTTATACCATCAGGGTTTACTTTTATGACGCCCCTCATGCGTCAAGCAGATACAACACAGGCATAAGTTTCAAAACCACAAATGTTCTGTTGACGACTTTGGACACATTTAAAAGGACATCTTCTCCGTCTGGAGGCCAGGTGCTTCCTATTAATCTCTACTCTCGCTTATCTCCTGGAACAAACTGTCCCTTAGGCAGACACAATTTTGCAGTCACAAGCTTTTGCAAACTATTATTTGAACTCTTACACCAACAACGCCGTTAAACTCGCCCTCCCAGAAGCCATCGTTCTCGTGGGTCTCTCTGCTCAGGATGGGGATGATGGCGCCTTCTGGGAACGACAGCTCATCTTCCGTTTGTCCGCGTAGTCGTACAAAGCCTTTGCGAATGAAACTGCAACACAGACAGTGGCAACGAGGGTATTAAACAAAGCAGGAAATCAAAACTCCGATATTATCTGGTGGAGGCGGATCTCACTCCTCGAGTCTCCGTTGACGGAGCCGGTTGGGAGTTCGGTTTCAGGTTCGGTGGAGTTGCTGGAGGATGGGATCGGGCGTCCAGCGCGGCCAGCGACTGCAGCATGCTCAGCAGGCTGTTGGAGGAGGGCAGCTGCAGGTATTTCTCCGGGACGTAGCCCACCTGTCCGCTACGGTTTCTGGCCTGGAAACACAGACAATGCACACAGACGATGACAACAGCCAAAAATGTTTCAACAGGAAAACTCCTAATGAGAAAAAATAAAGTCAGATGTAAAGAGTAGGGCTGTAACAATATCACTGCATCGTCGCCAGAATTTAATAACAGCCACAAAGAGAATAATAGGAGAGCTTTTGTTCTCTCTTCCTGAATTAACGAGAAATCTAAAATCCTAAACAAGCCTCTGCTGAATTCATGAAGCTTGATTTCATGAACACCGGTGGCCTCCCCTTCCGCTGCTTACTTATTTTCATTCAGATTGAAAACACTCAGAGGTATTGGGATCTCTGTTGGGGCATGCTGTGGGGAATCACAGCACTAAAACAGATCTATATAAATGATATTGCTCACATTTTTATGTATGATTATATTCATTAAAATAAATAACCCTTTAAAACACTATATCTGTATATGAAAAGATAATCACCTAAGTAAATATACATAAAATATTGGCTCAACACGTGGAACATTTGCACAATGGCTCACAGGAAAGCCAGACTTACACAATAAACAAAAGTAAAACAGCAACAATGCACAATGTTCCTTCAGGGAAATGATCTGAAAACAACCACACACAAAGTACACAATGACTACACACCAGCAGCTCTGCAGAGGCGTTTATAAAAGAATGACTTCACACAATGATGGGAGCATCCACAGCTGACATTTCTACATTTAAGTAGACACCACTGACCACCCGAAAAATGTCCTCAAAGACTTCTCAAATTTTCTCCCAAAGGTCCAGGAGCAACTTTGTAACAGTCTGTGACAAACAAAGTGAAAATGATAACTAAGTAGCTGGGAGATCATCAAATTAACATTTTATATCCATGACCAGGTCACTCCGCAGATCTCAAACTGATCAAGAGTCCACGAACCGCTGTTAAAAAGCAGAAGCTGACAAACTGTGATCAAACCGGAGCGCTGCTGAGGCAGGATTGGATCACCATCAATCAGGATTTGGTCCAGATTTTCAGTAGCTGCACTTAAGGTATGAATTTAAAAACTGCCTCATTCATGAATTATTGCATTCACAAACTTGGGTGCCATGCCCGCCCACCTGCCTGCCCGGCTGCGTGACGAGAATCTCCCATCAGCCCTTTACGGCTGCAGGGCCAAAAAAGAAGCAGAGAACTGTGTATTTGTACATTTTTTGATTTGTCTGTATGTTCAGCAGAGCTTCTACCACCCAGGCCAACCTGACCTGCCTCAATGCACCGCACGCATTTTAGTTGAATTATTCTAATTCCTGAAGCCACATCAGTTCAACTGATCCCAGAGAAACACTAAAACGTCCAGTAGATAGTCTGTACCGGTGCGAGGTCTTATAAAAACTGAAACTAAATGTTTGTCAAACAGTCTAAGAGCCAGAGAGTGAACTAATACACAAAACAACCAACCCTCAAACATGAGAGTGCATCTGCTACATAACTGTGTTTGTGTTATTTTTGTACCTTGACCCAGTCCTCCATGTCGCCATCATCGATGACCTCCAAGATTTCCTGCTCCTCGATGGTCAGCTCGTCTGGCTGAGAAGCCTGCAGACAGACAAACACGTTCATTCAAATTAAAGCTGCGATGTAACAGTTTAACCATCTTCATTTCACCCGTGATGTATATTTTTCAAATACCGCCACACTGGTGAACGGACAAAAATGCTCACTGTGGCTTCAATAACATCAGCCAGAACACTGAAGAAAACACTGAGACCATGCCTGCATTTATACCACACTTTACTCAGGACTCAGGTAATATAAAACAACTAATACTCCAAAGCAGCACAAAACTCAGACTTAAACTAGAATTTCTGTACAAATCAAAGAGCAGGTGTTTTAAACCTGGACACAGAATCATTAGTGCCACAAAGTTTGGGAAAGTAAATCTAAATGGGGGTTAAACACGACTGGAACTGATTAAAAACAGCCAAAACAAAAAGTGGCTTCACTTCAAAGTCAGAATTATAACTGGTATCCCAGTATTCGCTGCCTGTCTGTTGTCAGACGCATTTGTGTGACTATAAATACCACTTAAGTGGGAAAAGGAACTTCTGGTCATCTCTGCTTGGACTGCTGACTCAAGTGTCAAAAAATGATTTGATAGAGGAACTTGTATTGGAAAAAAGAGGAGCAGGGTATTGATCCCTGTTGATTTACCCGTCAGTCTACAGTCATAACTTTACCTATGACTAAAATCTGACACAAATGAGCATCTTCTGAAGGATGTCACCAGTCCTTCACCTGGTGACATGTTAAAGATCCACGTCCAATCCAAATATTTAATTAAAAGTGGAGGTTGTGCATTTATTTAGGAAGATAAACAGTCTGATAAAGTCGGAACAAACACGAGCTGGAAATAGTCCCACGGTGAGGAAATGAGACGACACATCTGTAAATAAAAACTAAAAATGGGAAATAATCTAAGTTCCTGTGCAGGGCAAGGAGTACAGTACAAAGTTCACTGTTCTGCCTTCAGGCTCATAGTTCAGACTAACAAAGATAAAGACCAATCACGCAGGACTTATTATGTTTCCTGCTTTGACTTCTTACCCAGACTGTTCCATAATGTGTGTGCAGCACTTTTGTGATTAAAATCTATTTAATTAGTTGTTTATTTCAGTGCAGACAGATTATTGACACTCAAACAATGGAGCTACTTTGTCTGTTACATTTTTTCCTGCTTGTGTATCAATTTAGAGGAAAGGTCATCACCCAGCTTCTCAAGCTTCATACTCCAGTGATCATGAATGTCTAAAAAAAAAAAAATCTTTTCTGCATCTGGTATTGTTGAGATGTTTAACTCTGGACCCAAAAGGTGGATCTGCTCTGCCTAAAGCCGCTTTGAGCATCAAGGTCCTGAGCCGAGTCCAGTCCGGGCTTTTGTGGCCACGGCCAGCTCAGCTTTCAGGATGCCCGTGAGCTGCTTGTTCCACTCGTCTGATTTTGTATTGATTGTTGTCTAAACAAATTAATCTGTCATCTGTTGAGCTTTGTTCCACTTCTCAACAATCTCCTCTGATCTGTGTTCATTACAGCATTTTACCTGTGGTTTCCAACCTGTGCAGTTGAAACCTGAAGGATCCACATTTCACTTCACTTTTCTGTAGAAATTGATTTTCCGGTAAACTGATTAACACCTCCTGCCAACTAAATTAGTCAAACACGAACCTTATTTTATGCTACAAAATTTGTATTAAAAGCAACCCAAACACTTTGAGATTTGGATTTTAATAGTTTCAAAAATTATTCTTCAAGTTTTACTTGAACATTTTAGAGAAATCATGTTAAGTTCTAAATTTTTAAGGTTGGGGATTTCATTCCATGCATAATAAATACGAGTTTATTTTCCCCAATAATCACTAAAAGCAATCGCATGTGATATTTTATGCATTTAATAATGAATAAAAAGAGAAAAACATCAGTATTTACCGTATCTGAGTCGACAGGCTGGAACATGAAGTCTGGTGCTTGCTGGAACGCCATGTTCTTCTGCACAAACAGCTGCTGGTGAAACTCCTGCAGAACCTGCATGCGTTTCAAGGGAACAGACAAAAATATACATATATACTTATTTAAGGTTTATCACAAGCTTACAAATCAGCCCATGTCTAAACCTGCATAATTAACACTTAGTAAAGCCTTTAGGGTTCAGGCTTGCTCCCTATTTAGTTTTAATTTCTTGCCCACATTTATTTCTATTTAAAATTAACTTTGAAAAAAAAAAAGACCTCCAGCTGAATGAATTGTGGCCAGTGATCCGTGTAGCTTTGGGCCACATTTATAATTTTTTATTTTCCATTACTCTGTCAGTTTATTTCTGTTGTATTAAGTTATGTGATTTGCTTATAAAATGAACCCAAATCAGCTTTTTATTATTTTAAACAAGTCAAATAAAAGAAAACGCCAATAACAATTAAGAGAATGACCATAAAGCCGTTTCTGGTTACTATCAGCTGATCTGAATGCTGATGACCACTCTGGTGTTTGTGGTCACAGCCTGACATTAAAAACGTATCACAGGCTCGAGTTCACCGCCTGCCTATTTTCTCACAGACTATTTTTAACTCTCCAGCTGCTGAAAGCTTAAAGAGACAGTTAACAAATTACATAACATATCACTGTAAGTAACACAGGTGAAGGTACAAACAGTTTTAATTCTAATTTCAGGTTTTTTCTAAAGCCAGCTAAAGCAGCCGGGGACTGGACCACAACCTGGACCACAAAGCTCTCTGCCCACCCGAGGGAGGACGAAGTACCTGTGTGGATATTTTAAGCTGAACTCATGGGGCACAGCTATTAGCTGTTCTGGAAAACAAAGAAACCTCCCCAGTACTGGTCCCAAGGCTAGTAACTTTGGTCTTTTGAATTGTACTTAAGTTTGGCCCCTCATCAAGAACCAGTTGCCTTGGGGAGACCATACCAGGGGACAGCATAGCTTCTCCTCCTCAACTGCGATCATTCACAGAAAGGAAAGGAGCCAGTGTAGGTGGTTTGACTGGCATCTGAAATAGGAGGCCTCCAGAATGTCTCCTAGACGAGCTGGTAAGGGCAGACCAAACACACACTGGACACATTATGTATCTCGGCCGGCTCGCCGTGATATCCCAGTATTCGCTGCCTGTCTGTTGTCAGACGCATTTGTGTGACCATAAATACCACTTAAGTGGGAAAAGGAACTTCTGGACATCTCTGCTTGGACTGCTGACTCAAGTGTCAAAAAATGATTTGATAGAGGAACTTGTATTGGAAAAAAGAGGAGCAGGGTATTGATCCCTGTTGATTTACCCGTCAGTCTACAGTCATACCTTTACCTATGACTAAAATCTGACACAAATGAGCATCTTCTGAAGGATGTCTGACCTCTGCCTTAGAAACACGATGAAGAGCTGAGTTATTTGGAAAGCTACTCGTTTACACCGAAAGGCACCAGAGTGGCGGCTCACTGTTCTCCAGGAAGAGCAGGAGTAGGTGGCTGGGGAGGGGGACGTCTGGGCATCATGACCGGACTCAGATAAGCAGCAGAAAATAGATGGAAGGAAATCAGGTTTAGTAATATCAGTTTTATATTCTTTAATCTTGTACACCGTATAAATGCCTAACATTTTAATCAAGCTTCCTGTAGAAACAAGATGCTGCTGCGTCTCTGCTCACATGGAGAGGCAGAGGTTGAGGTTGTGTGTGAGAAATATATTACTATGAATTACAAGGCTAACAATTACACCAAACTGCCAGGCTTGACAGCATCTGAAAAGTAAAATGAGCATAAAATGAGCAGCTTACCCAACCCAACCCAAGTTAAATAGTATCCCACAAGTAGCTCATTTTACTTTTGCTCCCCCAACTTATTTAATCAACCAGCCACAGTGTGGAGCTGACATTCCAATCAAGCTTAATCAAACAATTAAGCTCTCTCTTTCATAGATATAAATAACTGCTGCTAGCTATGATGTTTAAGGAGTGAATAGTGAACTTCTTTTAATGGTGTGTTTAATTAATTTTATTTAATAACTTGTGACCTTTGAGTCCCTTCCTTGCAAGAATTATGGCCAATGACGGAAATGTATGTATTACATTTAAGATTGGAAAACAATATCAATGCCACAAACGTGAGTTGTCATATACATCTGTGAGTTAATCTGCACAACCGTGTGCACATGTGCTCTGTGCATGTACACACACAAAGAATTGACCTTCGTTCCTTAAATTTGTAGCATTGCCTCTGTGCTGACTGATGGTGCTCAGTGGCTTTTGCTTCTTGCTTTTAAATCAGATGTCACTCTCAACATAAACACAAGCTACAGCAGCCAAGCAGTCTTAGCTGAGGAAACAAAGATACATTTCCTCATTTAATGTAAAATATTGTGGTGATGTTATGTTATATTAGGCAGGCAGCTGCCCAAATAACACTGTGACAATCAAAAGTATATCTATTTTGAACGCCTCAGCTGGAAAAATTCAAAATGGTTTGTAAAGTTGGCCACAGGTCTGTATGTAAATGGGAGTTAAAACATTGCTTCATATTTGGATATGTATGATGTTAGTGTTTCTAAAATACTAAAAAATGTGTTTATTAACAAAGTAAACTAAAAATAGACATTATTAAATTTTATACTTTTAACTACTGAATTGAACATAATATGAGATAATGTGTTTCCACTGTGGGAATGATGGATCCAATGACAAATAACTTTCAGATTAGTAAAGGTATATTTTTAATCTTTCTAGTTTTCCATTTCTATTTAGATGGTTTATATTTATATTTAAAATGAACAGGATCATAACAAAATAACACCACTGCAAGTGTAACAAAAATATGTTGAAATCAAATGGTATGTTATTTGAAATCAATATGAAACAATGACACATGCATTTTATCCAATTTTTTTATTTATTTAATTTTTCCCAATTGTCCAAATTAGTCTGTGATTTGCCTTATTGTCCAACAAATCATATTTATATACAAATATATGTGACTCTCAAATATGATTTAAATGGATCATTCCTCACTTGATGACGAATTATCCATTTAAATGTTTGCAGAGTCCTAAACTTGATGCCAGTGAACTTATCAGCAGTTGGTTTTAAAAAAAAAGCCCAAAAAAATCCCCTATGAGCAAGCACTTGGCGACGGTGGGGAGGAAAAACTCCCTTTTAACGGGGAGAAACCTCCGACAGAACCAGGCTCAGGAAGGGGTGGCCATCTGTCGCTGCCGAGTGGGCTTAAAATGTTCACTGTCCATCCTCCTTCTGACAGGAACTTCCTACAGACCAGGTATGAATGATGCCTGAGTGGACATACAAAACTCACAAGTTCCTGGCTCTCACGGCTCCTCTGCAGAGGGTTAGTCGAAGAAGGAGGGGCATCGCGAGGGGCGTCGGGGGACGGGGGACTGTGCCTCACTGCCCTCCCCTTCTCCAAGAAACCCGTCTTCAACCGAGTCGAGAGAGCCAGGAACTTGTGAGGTGTGCATATCCTGGTGAGCCTCCACCGTTTTATGGGTGGGTGCAGCCTCGACTGTACAGAGACAGACCAGACCAGCTGCAACACACAGACACTTCAAACCTGATCTGTGGACAATAAACAGACAGGCGCACACACACACACGCGCGCGCACACGCACACGCACACGCGCGTGTCATCCAGGGAAGGACGGATGTTGTTTGCTGTGCTGTATTTTTATGTGAAGTGCATATATTTATTTTTTTATATTGCATGTATTTTGTGCAGTGTTTTATTTAGTTGCATGTTTTAGTTGCCGGCAAATTGTCCTGGAGAGACTCCGCCCTTTCCCCTGTTTTTACTAATTGGACACACCTGTGAGGAAAGGAAAGTAATTTACAGAGTGCTGAATGACAGATAAGAGGGTTGGAGCTGGTGTTTAAAGCAGAGGAAGCGAGACGATTAGGGGGGAGACGACCAGCGACTGGAAAGGGGAAGCGATCAGCGGAGAAAAGGCAGATGACCAGCGACTAGAGACGCGTAGCGGCAGTCAGGTGACAAGAGCGACAAGAGCCAGTTCGTGCACCGCGGAGAGAACAGAAGCAGTGAGATCGCGGTGCCGATTGCAGTTTGAGGAAGCGGCGGGCGGAGTTGAGAGCTCTGCCCACCCGGGTAAGTCTGTGACTTATCCTTTTTATAAAGTAAAACTGCCAAAGGAATAGTGACTGCCGCTCCCTCCCTTTCTTCAGTGCACCAAGACGTGGGATGCGGGGAGGAAGGCGAGGACTCAGCTGGGTTTCCTGTTTTTACTACGCTGGACCTTTTAGTTTTCTGTGACTTTTAGGCCGTGGTGGATTCCACTGGACTTTTAATGTTGTGTGTTATTGATTTTTATTGTGTCTTCCCTTGGCCAAGGTTGTTTTAATTCATTTTATATTTTTAACTATTTAAATATAATAAATTATATTTTTAATCTTACAGTTTAAATTGTGTGTTTCCCTTGGCGGCTCCACTGCTCCGCCCGTTTTTAGGAAGGTCTCCTTCCTTTTCAAAACACAAAAACAACGTGAAATAAAAACAGCCTTTCCGCTCCGTTACATAATTGGCGTTGTCGACATAGGATACGGAGCCAAGAGCAGTTGGGTTAGCCAGGGGAATAGCAAATATGATGATGCCTGTGTATCCCGGAGCCCCGTGGCTGCCGAAGTTTAAAGGGCCTGATCAGGATGTGCAATATCAGGAGTGGAAGGAGCAGATGCGGGGGCTGCTGGGATCTCAGGACTTGCCTGAAGTGAGGAAAGTTGCTATTGTGTTGGGAGCGCTAGCAGGTGAGGCTAAACGTCAGGTCAGTGTCCTTGAAACCTATGAAAGAGATAAAGTACAAAAAATCTTTTCTTTTTTAGACTCCTTATATGGTGATAGTGTCCCCACCCCAGTTCTTAGGTCACAGTTTTTTAGTTGCACTCAGAACTCAAGTGAAACTGTATCTTCATTTATTTTGCGGTTAAGAGAATTATACTGTAGGTTGCGAAAGCATGATCCAGATAATGTCCCCTCTGATGCAGCCCTGCGAGATCAATTGTTGCTAGGA